ATAAAAATTATCTACCGTGATATTATCAAGGTTCCAGAAGTAGACGTGAGATCTCGTCGATATTTAAATTCACATATTGATAAGAAAGTGCTAATATTTTGTTGCTAGTATTAAATAAACAGTCTAGATAAGCCTGGATGCACTTTATATTACTGCAAACCAATATTTATAGGACACTGTAACGTTTGTTGCGATCTGAGTACACGATATTTTATAGCTCAAGATTTATAGCTGGTGTCTTAGATATTTTCAATAGTCAAAAACAGTTATAATTATGGAGATCTTAAAACAATAGAGAGGAACAGTAATAAAAACATCGCAGTGCCACGTTTTGTATGATTTACAGCCTTGAGTTACCAGTAATAGAGATATTTGTCTTCGTCATTGAAATGACAAATATAAATCGATTTATTTTAGTTTTGCCTGCAGAAGTACTTCAGTTGCAGTATCATTATCTAACTGTTAATCGTACAAGATATCTTCGTCACAGCTATACATACCTCGAACACTTCCTATTGAAGTTGATTGTGAAAACAATACGTTTGATATGGTCTCAGAGTGGTTCGTATGTCACAAGATTTGCATTCAAATTTGATAAGACGTCCAGGATTTGCAGAATTACAGTAAACATTTTGATACGATGACTTGTAATCCGATTTTTGAACTGCCTAAGATTAATAGAACTGGAAAAGGCCTTCTCAGGTAGATTGTTCCACAATATCGATAACCTAGGGTCAAGGAGCAGTCGTATCGGCCAGTTCTGAATGTACGAAGCTCGACATAGCTAGGATGAGAGGTCGAAGCAGGCGAGTCTGTCTGGTAGGCTCATCGTGCGGCGGCATCATGGAGGAGAGCTGTGAGAAGCAAAGCCCGTTGGCGTGACGGTAGAAGAGAGCTAGATAACCGACAACCCGTCGTTGCGAAAGGGTTCCGAGATTGTCCGTTAGAGAAGGGTCATCGATCAGTCGTATAGTCCTCGTCGGAACAGCATCGATCATGGATAATGTAGTCGGAGCGGCAGCACCCCAAACATGAGAGCAGTACTCGCAGCTAGGTTTTATCTGGGCCTTGTACAGAGTGAGGAGGTCATGTGGAGAAAAGTACCTGTTAGTCCAGAGCAAGTAGCCTAGCTTTTTCCCGACGAGATGTGTTCATGCTAGATCTAGATGACTAAGAGTAGCAGCCTTCAAGATTTATTTTTTATACATTCCAAAATAATATAATAATTGCTTCGATTATAAATTATTTGAGTAGATATATGGAAACAATGAAAGTAGTTTTTGCTAAGGCGCCAATATTAGTAAAAAGCGAATGACAAAGAGATTCAATTGTTTAACGATCTAGACCTTCTACGACAATTAATTTAGTTTTTATATTCACATCATACTACAGTCTGTTGCGTCTGATGGAAGCAATTAATTTTTTTATATTCACAGACAGAAAACACTTCTGTTAGAAGCAGGTTTTGTTTTAATTGTCTGTTGAACAACCATCTAATCAAACACTCAACAACGAGATATAAAGTACAAGCTTATAGAAAAATAACTATTGATTCGAGTATACGTACGTACGTTCATAACTTCATTCAGGGTATTCGATCCTGCAATGTAACAACATTGCAGATGCTTAACTCGTAAGACGACGAAGGGTTGAAACGTCGGTATGAAAGTTGATAATCGACGTTTGTATAAATCTTTGTTTTGTAACTTCACTCAAAAGTCTCGTATAATCTCGTATTGCCCTCAAGTTATTTTCAGGTCGAATGTTACAAACTTCGTATCATTACAGGCTTTTATTTAACATGACCCGTTTGTTAGTATATTAGTATGTGTGGGCCGAAAAGGGACAAATCTTGGAACTGAATTTTTCAGTTAATCTTAACCGATTGAGCTGAAATTTCATACACACGTTTGGTTCGCGTTACAATACAAAATGAATGGAATGCCTCCATTTTGAGTCCAGTACCTGGGTTGGTACAAAATGGCAATAGTCACATCTATGATGTAAGATTCAAAGGGTTTGATGAGAAAAACACAACAAGCAAACTCGGCATTCCAAATCTAATATGTCGCCTGCAATTTTTTATTGCCACAGTTACCCCTATGAGATGGGCGTCAAACGAAAAGGTTTGATGATCGAAGCACAATCATATTTAGTCGACGTTATCCTACATCCAATGCGGCGGACGTCTCATATGGCAGTGCTTTATTATTATGACATGTGGCCATCGGATTGGGGCTCATTCTATTTTTCTTGACGAACATTCTGTTCCTAGGTTCTGATGATTAAGTTAAGTAAGTCGACTATTATGTGAAATAGATGCTCATTTTTAATAAACATATCAAATTTAAACGTTTTAACATTATGTAGTGCATTACCTACGCTTTAATTCTTCGATCAATTCAGGAAGGATACTTATAGATTTAGGTCTATGCTCATGTGCATCTCACATGTTTACGTAATATTTGATTTATATATCGTTCGAAATTTTATAAATAAAGTAAAACATTCTATGAATTCCTAAAAGAAGAAAATACATTTTTGAAAACAAGCTTTTGCTCAGCTGTTAACACGAAACAAAAACTCAGAAATATTTTTTTTTCGATTGGAAATAGTCCAAATAGTCCTTCTACAGCAAGGTGAAGTGGGTGTAATACGTAATATTTCTATTCAGAAGAGATTATTAATGTCTATTGGGCACGTTTGCTATATGGAACACTTAACCATTTCCATGATGAAGCGCGTACAATTAATGATAGTGATACGAGACAACCAAATACAAACTCTTCCTGAAAACTGTCTAGAAGTCTAGATAATCTCCGCTCTGGGCAATAGATGGATGGACTGATATTGGGTTATGATATGTGAGATCTGTGATACCTAGACTACTTTGATCTTGTACTTGAAATTAACTCTTCAGGGCGTCATACAACTCAATTTTGTTGCTTGTAGGAGATTATCATGGTCGAACGAGGTAGTAAGGAAGTGCAGACGTCCACAATAGCCGCGAATACTCCTCGATCAACCAAAACACCCGCCTGGCAGTACAAAAAATCAAAAGATAATAGAGTAAATTATCGATAGTTAACGTTTGATTTCGCCTGGCGGTCAAAAGAGATTTGCAATCTCCAAGATGTTATGCTTTGCAACCCGGGCATTAATTCTACATTATTTGCGTGCATACGATATAATTTTTGATTTTAATATTCCCCGAGCCGATATTGTACAGGGCAACAGCGAACAGCTCGTGTTATAACAGGCAACAGCTTGAATATTTAACCACCTAGATCGTTCTTGATTGCATCGCCCCCAGATATCAATTACGATAGACTGTTATTCTCCGCTAAAAACGGCGAATAGTTAATGTGTATCCCATACACAAAGGAATTTTCAGAACGCTCACCGTCTATTACAATAATTAAGATTTATTAATGCCGACATTCGCGATTACAGGTCGTCATATATCTTTTCTACACGATGCTTACAAATTTACACTTCGAATAAGGAGATAAGGTTCCTACACTGTCAAATGTACAAATATTGTTCATTTTACCCCAATTACAGTACCTACAACATGTTGAACTAGATCATACAATGTCTACATTACACAGCCCCACAAAAAAATAAGTGTCAAGATTCGTGAGACAGATCATGGTATTCCTATGTATTATTGGAAACTGAATCCAAATCCGGTATCAGACAGGTTTCTAGACGACTAGAATTCACCCTCTGGTCCAGAAACTGAGTCTGGATGGTATCGCAATGTATATTTCGACGCTGAATCCGAAATTGTGGTCCAAAAGGTCCATACAACCCTAGAGTTCACCCCGGGACAACTGTTTCTGTTTTGGTATGCAAACATCGATGTTTCGATAAATTCATGTTTTTTTTTAGCTTTGTAGAGCTTAATAAGCTTATACGTAAGGAGCTTTTGGCCAGCGACTGCAAAAGTCAAATTTATGTGGTTAATTGTATGGCTATTAACAATAACTTTTTTAGAAGAGACGGGTTTCTGTAAGCACTGCCTACCGTCAACATTCAGTTTTCTATTTTGAAGACTGTCAACAATAAAGAAAGTTTAAGGTACTGTGAAAATACTAAAGCAAACATGTCCAATAAGAAATTTGTATTTATACTGAAAGGAGTGCTCTTAGATCTTCAAAACATTGAATTTAGGGTCGAAACTATGATATACTTGGTTTTTAAAACTATGAACCATACTTCTTTGAACTGTGTTTCATTGCTTAACTGTAAGAAACAATTATACTCGTATTAACCTGATTTCAAGTAGGTATATGTGAGCTTGAATCAACGTCATAATTTCAAGCATTGTAACGACTACATCCAGATATGATCTGTTTGACCTTGAATGACCAGAAGTGATTTAAAAAAATTAAAATCATGTATTGGCGAGTCATCTAAACCATTCAAGGGGCCAATTAAAGAATATAAAAGTTTGTAAAACAGCGATCTCTCAAGGTGAAACTATAACTACATGGCCGAGACCTTAACCTTGCCTTAGTTGGCCGGGGGTCATACAAGGTCATATCTGAACGTAAAGTTGTTCGCTCGTTCCTTTGTCGGAATTTACATTTAACATTTTGAAGATGAGCTTCAAATGACCTTCAAGGTCAAAGTTAAGATCGAATCAAAATGTACCTTCTGATAGCTGAGGAAAAATGCTACAACTTTTATTTGAAGCATTGTCCTCTAAACTGTATTTGTGGTAGTTTGACCTTGACGAATCACTCAAGGTCAAATAAGGGTCAATCAAGGTCTTGCTTCAGCTTAAAATTTTCCGCGTGTTTCAAGACCGGAATCAAAAGTAGGGGTTTACATTTGAAATTTTAAATCTGACCTTCAAATAAGCTTCAAGGACGAAACCAAGGTCAACTACCAATAGTCGATGGATAATTTACAACTTTTGTTCAGCATTTCCCGTTAAAATGTATTTTCAAACTAGACGTTACTGTACTTTTGCTAAAGATATATTTTTTTTGTTACAGGGCGTCGTTCAGCGGAGGGCTACCATGTGATGCGGCGGCGCGATGCCCACTGTGTCCTTGGCGCGTGAGCATCCGAGTCCCGGCGGCACCCGCACTGATACCCCCACAGGCCCTCCAGGACGCTCTGACGCTGACGCCCCAGCAGAGATGAGTCCAGAACAGGAGGCCAGTCCGCCGCCGGCCGCACCAGGTACCATCTCACAAAACTTCTACAATTATCTAAGAACAAATAATCTAGAAACAACAAACATTGGTTATCCCTACTAATATTATAAATGAGAAATTGTGTATGATATGCTCCGTTTTGACGTTTTTTATGAATTTTGGCCGCTAGGTTCTGAAATGCAAGGTACTTCTGGAGAGAGACGGACGAAGCCGTTTCATTTTTCATTTTGTAGTGGGATTTCAAAATAAATTACATATTAACATTGCCAGTTTTTCTCCTCCACAAGGTTGTATGATTAGAATTTCAATATGACGTTTCGTCTCTTGTCCTCCAGCTTCAACTTAAAGTCTTTCTAATGGATGCCGTACTGGATTTTTGCATAGATGAATACAGTTTTTAGTTCTGCATGGACTTTGACAAACCTTAGTTATTTAAAAAAAAAAATAGAATGTCCTAGGTAGGCTTTGAAATTTTACATAACCGTTTGTTTCGTACACCGGATTCATTGAAAAACCGTTGTTCATTTCCTGATTTTATTTTAAACAGGATTTTCAAATAAACTGCCTTTTGACATTTCCACTCTTTTCTCCTCCCCCTCTCTCCCCCTACAAGAGGGCGTAGTCAAATTCTCACTTAGACGTTTCTGCTTTTGATCTCCATCCTTTGTTTTTTTTTTCTTATGGACCTGTTGAAATTTGACGCTGCATTTAATTATACATATAATACAAAAATTTTCAAAAAAGTCAACTTAGTACATAAATACCCGTACGTATGCCATGGACGCCTTTAAATGAAAATATAGTTTTTCATTCAAATGTGGCTTATTGCCCCAAGCTCTTCAATTTTCAGTTTTAAACGTTTCAAAGATTTAAAATGTGTCAATATTTTTTGGAATGGGCTGCTGCCTAAAGTGATAGGAGCACCATTGAAGCAAAACTGATTTTCTCAAAGACTTATTGAAATGAAACAAGAATACTCACAAGGATTTTGCAGGATATGAAAAATATTAATATTGTTTTAGGGTTCATACGTCCCTGGCGAACCACAGTTAATTTTTTTTTCAAGGGCACCACCATATACAGGGTGTAAACGTTATGGTAGTCATTATTTAAATGGGTAATAGGGGGGTCAAAACAAGTCAAAAACTTCATTATGACCCATTGTCCAAAAGTCAATAGATTTTTGTCTAAATGGCTTTATAGTTTAACACTTTAAGTGTTTTATATCGACCACAATCACCACAATCTTACTAGTTTTTATAATCTAATCTAAAACGGTTTTAAATTGGGAAATTAACAAATAAATGGCATTAATTTTTTCTAAGTTAAGCCAAAATTTGTAGTCAGTAAGAAAGTAAGTTTCATTAAATTGGATATTTAAAACACACTTGACAACAGCGCGTCAGTCATCATCACTCTTATTGTACCGGCAATCGATCGCAGACGGTAACAGTGGTTAGTTATCCTTTTTCGTAGTTTTGTCGTGTTGTACTTTAAAGTCGCTTTTCTCTAAAAAAATGCCGTTTTGACCCCCATTTTATATGAAACATTTTGCTTCTTCTAACCCCCTCTATCACTCATTTAAATAATGACTATCATAACGTTTACATCCTGTATAACCTCAACTAGTTACAATGTGTCAAATTTGTTTTGAATTATATAGTATTGTTCTGAAGTTATTCAAGAGAAACACCTGTAGCATCTGTTAAGAGTCTGTACCAAAATTTGAAAGTCATCAATGAATAAAATAGTTCTACAAAAACTACAACAAAGAATCACTTCCTGAATTATGTTTCTGGTGTGTGTGAGAAGGATTCCGTTAGATCTCTCCGGAGTTTTTAAATAGATATTTGTTTCTCTTTATTTCAATTTTTGCAAACATGGCGTTCCAACCGGCACAATTCTTGACTGGTGGCATTTGCTTTTGACATGTAATCTCATCACGAAGACTAGAGGTAGGAGGTTTATTTCATAGAGTGAAAGTGACACCTAAAAGTGTCGACTTCGAAGGCGGGGCTATTTCGTGAGTACACTGCAAAGGAAATTAATTGCAGAAAGTGAATTCAGGTGCTTTGCATGTGGCATCTCACTCTGTTGCTGTCATCATGTCAAGTAGACGTTTTACGGCAGGTTCTACGCGCACTAGATTACCGAGAGCATTGGTGACAGGATTGGTTTCTTACAAATACTTATATCCCTCACGCAGTTTGACCTTCTATCTATAGTCTTCGTGAATCTAACGTTAGGTTAGTTGGCAACAATTGATGTTAAGCAGTAATCAAAAAAGATAAAAGTGGAATGACTAGACACAAAATCACATCAATTACATTAATAATAAAAAAGAAAAATATAACATTTTGTTAACGATCGGTCACACTATCTTTGTGAGTTCAAACCGTATCTAACTGGTAGTACCTGGTAAATATTTGTAACTATCATTCTGTTGGCAAAATTTTAACTGTGATAGCTTCAATCTATCTCAAGTACAGTGAAGGTTTTGAATACTTAAGGGTGGCGAGCACGAAAGAAGAGAATTCAAAACTAAAGTAGTATGTTACTGAAAGTACATATATATGAAATTCGAGCTAAAATTAGTTCCATATATAAATGTGATAAGGCTGTGTAAGCTTGACAATATTAAAAATATCGTCTCATGATTATTTAACTGATGTGGTCGATTTTAGCGATTTCAATCAATATACGAATTTAGCTTTGAATTCTCAGGGGTTGGTGCTGACGACCTGAAATATTGGTTTAGCAGCACAATGTGATTGTCCTATTAAACTCTTTTCCAATGTTCCAGGTGCTTCGCCGCCGCCCCCACCACCACCTCCCCCCTCTTCCGCGACTCGGTTGGCCTCGACCTCGCCACATCAGGAGGGTGCCACCTCGGACGTGGAGCAGTTCTCGGGGAAGATCGTCTATAACCCGGATGGCTCCGCCTACATCATCGAGGATTCGGAGAGCGAGGGGGAGGCGCAAACGGGTCTAGGGGGCGGGCAGATGCCGCCGGCGACGGCCGCCTCGCAGGCGGACGTGCCTGTAGTGCCCGCCCCCTTGCAGGCGGTCTACGTGTCCAGGCTCATGCATGGCAAATCAGGGTAAGTAATGGAATTCATATTTCATTAATGCGTAACCGTTTTTTTTTTTTTTGTGAAACGTTTTTACCTAAATTTAAATCATTTCTAGGTGATCCACTTAAACAGATTTGAGTACTATATTAAAGCTCTCTTTCCGTAATATAGCATTCCCAATTTTAATTGACAATTGTTTAGTTTCCCTTTAAATCTGATGGAAAAGAAAAGTCATTTTCAAACCAACAGGAAGCATTTGAGTATATTATCTCGCTATTCAAACCTACTAGAATAAGTGGGATATCTTACAACACAAATATAACACCCATTCAGTTGTCCAAGTTTTGATAAAAATCAATTTTTTGGCCCATTGGCAAAAATTGGACGTGTTTGTGGTGAAAAAGAGATGATTCCTAAAAATGCTTGCAACACATTCAAGTGGAACTATCTGAGTATTTTAAAGATCTTCATCGGTAAATGCATCACAATAATCACAATTTTTATTCATAATTTAAATATGTACAGAAGTACTGAGCCGGTCCTGCCATGTGCACACTCCTTATGAGATGCCTCAGCGGTGTAACATTCGTTGCTTATTATCTGGAATTAAATAGTTTTCACGATCAAATATCTTCCCTATTCCTGGAAGGCAAAACCAACAGCGTTGCACTTCCAACAATGCAGATAAAGATTGTTCGACAAGGTAATATAGTAAACCATATGAGCTGGACACTATTGGAGCATTGTGGCCAATAACGACTGCCGTTTTTTATGAGCGAATTTAATAAAATTGCCTCTCGGTATACAGAGTAATCCATATACCACTGACTACCGTTCTTTCTCAGATTGGAGTGCAACTCATAATTTGGTGAGCTAAGATAGTTAATCGGTACGGACTCTGAGATTTTTGTCTCCCCCAAGAAAAGCAGGGCGGGACGGGTGGATTGCAAGTAGTGATGAAGAGCATCAACGTTAATCCCGTAGATGTTCGTGAAACAAATTTTATCTTCGATGTTGTTCCCTCTGGTCCACCCTTCACCCGGACATTCTGAGAGTGGAGTGAGCTTACATCCAGAGTTCTTAGTACTCGAGGGATACATCATCATTAATTTCTTTGTTATGGAAGATTACCGACTGCATAGCTTAGGTGTGGAAACATGCGGACATTTATGAGACACCCTGGGAAAAGCTATAGAGTGGTACCGCCTCGGTCGACTGGTCCTTGTATATCACCTTCTTTTTGTGTATTAATGAGATTAAATAGACTTAAAGTACTGAGGTATTCCTTAACGCGTGTACAATCACTTCTACGGGAAGAAGTTGTATGCTGGATACAACAACTTCCGGAACAAGCATTTTCCACTACCCCGCTCCGTAGGGGTTGGGGTTTTTGAAAATCAATATTGATGTTACAGTTATTTTTCAGACTTTCGTTGTCGAACTTAGATTTACGGTATAGTTGTTTTCTCAGTTTTCCAAGCGGTGTTGATCGCATGTGGAAATTTGGAAATCCTTGGAAAAAACTGTATCTGTTAGATGGTAATTATTTTGATAATGTATGTTTGTACTAAACAAGTACAGGGATACAGGGCTGTACATATTCACGTAAAGTGCAGCATCTCTGTGATTTAAACGAATTCAATATAGCAACATAAATAGACGCATACGCGAGAATAGATGCGGGATGTGTGGTATTGATTTTGAGCATCGATCGATGCAGTTTCTAGTCAGGCCACAGGCGCACCGCTAAACAAATCTCATAAATGCTTCGCTGCAACATCAACCCCGAACAAAATCAGTCAAGCTTTACACACTTTTCAAATTACTATTGAGCAACAAACAGAACATGAATCACTTTTTAAGTGCAATCTGTATAGCTAATACATTACCCAGACTTTGATTTGTCACAAGTCACAAAACTCGTACATACGTATAAATCATAAGAGTTTTGCTGTAAACAAGTGATGTCAAAGAGCGGCTGCATTTGGAATACCAAAGGATACCAAAAAATCATAATACTCAGTTCCTATAGCTAAACTTATAGTTAGTATGCCTCTGTCACCATGATGTGACAGAAAGTAACCTAATGGTGTTAGATTGCAAAAGCAAATGTCAGACGTCTAGGGGGGGCGCCCCCCGCGCCCCCTCTCTATGCAGACCAATAAATCATCCAGATGCGATCTTGCTATTCAACCAACTTTGAAGAGATGAAAACTACAGATTACATGGCTTCACAACACAAATGCAACCAACAATGCGTGTAGTTGAGTCAGGCCTCCATAGATGGATGCTCACACCGATCCTAGTGAGCAAACGTGGAATGTTTGCACCCTAAAAACTACCTAGTCTGCAAGATAACATCTTATAAGTCTTTTTGATGTTTTATAGATTTTTTACATAATACCCGTGCCATGCCTCCACATTCGCGAGACATGGGTCCGTGAGACTTTTTCTATTTTCAAAAATAAAGAGAACCTTAAAGTGCCGTCGATTTAAAAACGTAGATGACATTAAAAGCACATCGCTGAAAGCTATTCCAAAGATTGGAATGCAACATGCACACATTCTGGCCCCCGCCTACGAGATCCACCGGGTGGTGCTATGCTATGCTTTCGACTGTCAGATACCGTCTACCACCTACGGACAATCACAACATCCATAGCCAAGAGAAAAATTTCTCCTGGGACGGGATTCGAACCCGTATAGCGCACGGCGACTGATCAGGAGACCGAAGAATCTACTACTGCGGCCACCGCTGCTGCCTTTAGCCAGCAGCGATAATTATGATGTAGTCGAATGAATATTTTTTTTCCAAAAAACAAAAGTCCCCGCTATATTATTATCCACCCTGTTTGTTTCAGTATGCGGCAACCAGCTCATCCAACGGAACTGCCGGCGGTGCACAGCTACCGCGTGGTGGCGCTGCGAGACGCGCGGCCTCCTCGGCCAGCTTCGGTGCCCGTCAAGCCCATCCTGATGTGCTTCGTATGCAAGCTCAGCTTCGGGTTCGCAAGGTCGTTCGCCAACCACGCGCAGGCCGAACATGGCGTCACGCTGAAGGAGAACGAAAGGGAAGTCCTGGCTGCTGATTGCTCTGCCATTTTGCAATGCGTGGGGGTGGACAAGAGGCCCATGGTGTCGCTTCTCGAACCGCTCGTGCACGACCCGCAACACCACCACGCATCCAATCAAATAGTTCCTGTTCATACTGTACAAAATCGAAACGAAGGTAAGGAATTAGGGTTATTTTGATGGAAGCAGCTTTAACAATTGACCAAGATTTTATTTACTCACTGAACACCAGTTAGAGCATTCGTTAGATAAATCAGTTCGGTGTGCGGGTCCTCAAGACCAAGTATATTCCGTTTGTTGTTTATTTGGAGCACGTTTTGTAATTCAGCTGAAATATTATAGCGTGAAATTTTCAATCTGCTTGACTCCAAGTTGTGTGAGCATAACCTGAATACGTATTCATTATTACTCTGGTGTTTAAAGACGCTACAGACAGAGATGGCAATTTGAATCTTTGGTTACGTAGAACTGCAGCGATCGGTTACTCGAAAAGTTGAATTTAGATGATTATGAAAACTTGGTCTTGTAGAGCCACTGACATGAGGAATTTGGCTAAAATCTGGTTGGATCGGAAGTAGATACCAAGTGACTTAGCCCGTATATGTTGCAATTGTTGAATCTTCGCAAGATTCTAAATTTATTTCATGTATAACATCCGATACCGTATCAAGAGATATCAATTTTTTTGGTGTATATGTTACTACTTGCATATTACACTATTTGCTGCATGAAAATCCTTTATAAAATTGACTCAGATGATGTAAGCAAATCACAAACACGGATACTGTGAATCATTTTGTTTATTATTCGTGGGCAACGTCTTACTAAGAATAAATATCTACATTTTTTTTTTGAAATATCATGCGACTCCCATAATAAAGGAACCTTATACAGGGATGGAAAACGAGTACTTGCAGATATTTCCTAAACTACTAATATGCGAAGTAGATAACCTTATTCAAAACTGTCCTTATTTTTAATGTTTGTGCTGTTTTTCATTTGGAAAAATTGGCATTTGACATTTCTTCAATTTAATTTTAATCCGTTTGTTGACCGGATTGTATTATTAATTATTAAAATATTGAATGAAGCCCACTAAAGTAGACCCCGTTATATAAGGAGCCAGTTACACATCCTTCGACATGGAGATAAATATACCAAAAATTAATAGGCTTTTATGGCATTTGTGATTTTTTTTACACAAATTCGATGTTTCTCCAAACGGTTAGAGGTAGCTACGAGTATAGGATGTTATTCATGGAATATATCTAGAATCTCGGAGAGATTTTGAAAATTCAATCGTTCGATTCAAAATAAGCAACTTGTTATCTACAAATTCCTCCGTTATATCCGAAAGAACTACCGTTTTAAAAATATTTTTGTCGAATTCCTCTTATCAGTTATACCATAACCCTAAGTTTTCATAATTGTCTAACTTTTTAAGTAATCGGTCGCTGCTGCTGCTCTACGTGGGTTACCCAGAATCGGGATGTGGTGTCACCATGTTTATGCAACTTCCATGATAATAATAACTGATGTTGTTCCAGGTCCGTCGCCTGTCTGCGAGACCCCGCCATGTTCCTCTTCCCGGACGACACCGGGTAAATCTCCGTCACCGCCGTTCGCCACGCCACCTGCCTTCATGACCGGTACCACGATAGGAGTCTGTCCGGAACATCTTCAGGGCAGGCCCTCCGGAGTCGAATGCGCCCGGTGCGAGATGATTCTTGCATCCGGGAGGTAAGTCGACATATGGATGGGCATGCTTATGGTCGACTCTTACAGCATGTGCTGCCGGAACTATTAGAAAATGTGCCACTGAACATAAGAGCCAACATGTGGTTTCAACACGATGGCGCTCCAGCCCACTTTTCTTTACAAGTGCGGCAGTGTTTGGACGACAAATTTCCAAATGGGTGGATAGGCCGAGGTGGCCCTGTGCCTTGGCCTGCGCGGTCACCCGACCTGACCCCACTGGATTGTTTTCTCTGGGGCCATCTGAAAGCTTTAGTATACGAAACTCCTGTTCCCAACCAACAAGAGCTACTGGGAAGAATGATGGCCGCGTCCGCACATGTTCAGGACATACCGGGGGTATGCCACAGAGTTCGCCGATCATTGAACAATCGTGCACAGCTGTGTATTGAGCAAGGTGGAGGACACTTTGAGCAATTACTGTAGGTAAGCTGTTTCAAGAAACTGATGTTTTTTTTTGCTGCAGCCCAAACGGCATATTTCCGAACAGGGGTTTATACCTACCATTGTTACATCTCTCATTTTCACAGCCTCAGAAACTTTTGATTTTACACATTACCTACCACTGTACGTCTAAGGCCCGTATCGTCAGTCGTCCCTACAATTGTAGGGTGCCTTTATGGCCTCCTTGATTGTCATAGTTTTCTACTTCTCCGTGTCAGCGCTCTATTTTAAGGTTATGTCACAAACATCTATTTGCATCAAATTGTGCTTGCTTTTGAGTTATATCATGTTTTATCAGCCTGAAATTTCCTACAATTTAAAAAGAAAACATATCTTCACCTTAGGAGAGCGCTGACGCTGACACGGGACAAGTGTAATCAAGAAATTTTTGAAGGAGAGAAAGGAGTATGACAATCAAGGAGGCCACAAACGCGCCCTACAATTGTAGGGACGACTGACGATTCGGGCCTAACTTAAATCAATCGGTAACTGACGACTTACTCATAGAACTTACATATGAACAGACACCCAAAAATAACCGGAATAGCATTGCAGAGGGCGGAGTTTGTGTAGTACACATTTCTGCCCCTAGAGGCCTACAGCGCAACTCATTACAAGTTGCTCAGTGCCACCTGAGTTGCAGATCTGGCTTGTTTCGTTCCTCTGTAGTCATTATTTTTGCTAGAGCTGTTTCGCGCTTGTTTCCTTTTTTACCATGGCAAGCTTTAGTGAGCAACGTGCAGCTATGAAATTTTGCTTTCTAATTGGTAAAAATGCTGCTGAAACTATTTTAATGTTGAAAATAGCTTACAAAGATGATGCTGTGGGAAAGACTCAGGTGTACGAGTGGTTTTCTCAATTTAAGAATGGCGACATGTCGATTGATGACAAACCTCGCTCTTGACATCAATTAACTGCCCAAAAGGCGAAAATGTTGAAAAAAGAGAGCTTGTGCTATTTGAAGGTTTTAAGACGATTGCGAAACAGTGTTCGGCAAAAAGACCCGATTTGTGGTAGTCAGGACACTTGTTCTTCAACCACGATAATGCACATGCGCACACAGACATACATTCCTGTTCGACAGTTTCTGGCAAAAAATGGCATGGTTCCGTTGTCTCACGAACCTTATTCGCCTGACCGTGCGACTTCTTCTCGTGTCCATGGATGAAAAGCGGCATAAAAGGACGCCTCTTTGACGACATTGAAGAGGGCAAAACAACAAGGGAGGAGTTGTCAGACATTTCTAAGGAAGATTTCAAAAAATGTTTCGAGCAGTGGAATCACCAGTGGGACAAGTGTATTAGTTGTAGTGGACAGCATTTTGAAAGAGATAAGGTTACTTTGTGAAAAAGTTGAAAATAAATAGCTTTTAAAAAATAATTCCGGTTTTTTTTGGGTGCCCCCTCGTATAGTACTTACGTAAACGTACATTTTGCGCATGACTTCAAGTGGAGAGAATATACTCGTATTTAAAGTTAACTTCATTCATTTGGCCTGCTAGATTATATTTTGTCAACTCGGATTTCCGTCTTTTCAGGTTAGGCCCTGCCGGTTTGGCCAACGTGCATAGCAGAAATTCATGTAAAACGCTTAAATGTCCTAAATGCAACTGGCACTACAAGTATCAGGAAACCCTAGAAATTCATATGAAAGAAAAGCACCCAGAAGCTGAAACTAGTTGTATTTACTGCATAGCAGGCCAGCCCCATCCGCGGTTAGCACGAGGCGAAACTTACACGTGTGGGTACAAGCCGTACCGATGCGAAGTGTGCAACTACTCAACTACCACCAAAGGCAATCTCAGTATACACATGCAATCCGATAAACATTTGAACAACATGCAGGAATTACAAAATGGCGGAGCGCCTAATCAAGAAACCCGTCAAGCCTCGCCCAAGGCTCCGCCTTTACACCACTCGCCTGTCAGCAGTGGTCACAAACCTAAACCTAGCTTCAGGTGCGACGTGTGCAACTATGAGACGAACGTCGCCAGGAACTTGAGGATACACATGACCTCGGAAAAACACACACATAACATGTTGGTGTTACAACAAAATGTGAAACATATGCAAACGTTGTCAGCACTACATCACCAGCAGCATCCTCAGCAGCACATGGAAAGCTTGTATGGAATGTACCCTGGACTAGGCGACAAACCTGAAGCTGCTCTGGCTGATATGGCATACAACCAGGCATTGCTTATACAAATGATGACTGGTGGACAGATTCCTGGACATGGAGGTCCCGCGGATATGTCTGCGCATTCCGACCTGGGACTGAATCCTGAAACGATGGAACCACCTCCTGAACCTGCGGATCCAGACCCCGACAAGATATTTCAATGCTGTGTCTGTAATGTGTTCCAAACTGATAGCTTAGAAGAGCTAGGTAGGCACTTGGCGCTGGATCGAACGAGACTGCGGGAACAAGAGATCCTAGCTGTGGTAGCTGGCCATTATGTCTGCAAGCTATGTACATACAAAACTAACTTGAAAGCCAACTTCCAACTGCACTGTAAGACTGATAAACACCTTCAAAGGCTTCAACACGTGAACCACGTAAAAGAAGGCGGCCCTAGGAACGAATGGAAGCTGAAATACGCTTCGGCACCTGGAGGCGTTCAAATCCGCTGCAACGCCTGCGACTACTACACGAACTCCGCGCACAAGCTTCAGCTTCACGCAGCTGCTGGAAGACACGACGCGGGAGTGGCGCTGTTGAGGCACCTGCTAGAGAGATGCTCCGTATTGAGTCCGAACCAAGCACGAGTATTCCATTGCTCGCTGTGTGGGTTCTCCTCGACAAACCGACTACCTCTGCTGCAACACGTCCGATCACTAAAACATCTACATATGGAGCAGCTGCATCAGCTTCAAAGGAGAGCTGAAGGGAAGGAGAATTCACCGGAGATCGGGGAAGTTTTTCACGTCGTACCTGCACCTATCGATCACCAACAGCATCAACACCAGCCGCACCAAATGACGCAAGGTAAGAATATAAAGTAGTTTGATAAGCATGCATCGACTTTTTAGATACAATGTCATCAAAGTCTGATAACAATTGAGAACACAGTCAAAAGTTTTAGACTTTTTGAAATAAGACTTTGTTTCCGTATTCATTATTATACGGATTAAGACTTTTTTTAGCTATTGCAATTGGTCAGGTGATCGAATCTCTTATTTTTCTGACAACAATAGATATTTTCTGGACCATTAATGCACAATATCTGCTCCGTACGATAGCTATTATTAGTGAAGCACAATACATAAGAAACAACACAGCTATAGTAGCAATTATTAAAACTCACTGTACAACATGCTCACGATTAGAGTCATCATAAAATTATACCGGTAGGATAATCCAAAACTAGACAGCTGATAATATATAAGGCAAGGAGAGCTTACTTTTTTATAGGAGGCAATAAGAAAAAAAATAAGTTGACAAGCTTATATTAGATATTAATCCTGCAAATCGTTATTTATAATAGTAAAAGTATGGTCCACTTTAAAGCTTCTGTTCGAGTATCAACTCACTTTTGAAATATGCAAAGATAAAATATTATTCTCAAATTACTTTATATTGCTAAGCGCTGTTGCTCCCTGTATGTATTTTGTTCCGAAGCTATAGAATATTAACAGAATTGAACCAAGTTCATTCATATTCCGAAAATAATTTGATTTACTGTTTGTTGTTAATGAACTCGCATATACATCTTATTGACGAAAAGTCGTAATGGTCGAAATGAGAAATATGATCCTTAAATACAAAAGAACATTTCCTCCTGACGTGACTGGCGGTTAAACAGAATATTTTTTCGACACATCGATCAGGTACTTCCACTGTAATATGAGACAGATGTTATTTTGAAAGGTAATGCCAAATATCGCCACGCCAATAATTAGGTTCTTTTTTGTTAAATAACAGCAGGCTAAAACCAACAACGGCCGCTGTCTTTTGTTCCATTCGGCAGCATGGGCTTACGGAGAGATTATCTCAAGGGGGCAAGAATCAGAAACTATATTGCTTTGAATACTATTCAAATAAATACATGAACGAAATGTTGGAGCTTTATGAAAATAGGGATTTGGGTATCGGGAAGATGTCATCGGTGACACGAGAGGGGATGTCATATAAGTATAAATAATTAACAGGTACCACCTAGCTTTTTATGTTTGAATATTTTTGATGAAGCAGGATTTGTAGGAACTTTATTCTGCCTAAGCTGCGTAATATAAGGTTTCATACTATTATCGTCACAGGCCAGGTCACTTGCCTGTATGGAAGATATTACTCTAGTAGATTCTCAAAAAAATTAGTGAAAAGACGAAATGCTCGTTCTCTTCCAACTAACGTAGTCTAGTTTCACAAAATGGCTGGAGGATTCAAAACAATATAGAAGTTGACCTAAGAAATGAAACTCCTAGAGTGTATCCAACTTATTTACCATGCCATAAAATAGTGAATTCCCGGATATTCCAAAAATATAATTGCATTGAAATTAATGGAAGCATGATAGGTAATTTATACAAAAACTGGCGTCAAGTAGGTTGACTCTGCACTTTCGACTCAACGCCTTCATAAGCTTAGAAAGGATTAAGTTCAGCACAAGTTAAACAGAGAACAAACATTAGTTACAACCATGAACAACAGGTAAATTGAACGGTTCACATCAGTCAAACAAAAGAGGCCCATAAAACTAAACTAAAGGCATTCTCTCCCTACCCTACCGGCAGTTGGCAACGTTGTCCCTTCCCATACTTTCATACGCAGCAGCGCCCACCGAAGCACCGCCGCAGTACGACAAAACGACAAAAGCAATCACACAGACCATTACGCCGCGCCCTGAGCCCAGATAGCAGACGGAGACGCGTATCGGAAGTTTTAAGGGCAAATATACGGCGATACATATGACGTGTGAAATATGGTTAATAGATGCTAAGAATTACCGGGGTTGGGAGCGTATACTGACATCAGAAATTAAGATATACCTTCCCCGACTCCCCCACAAGCGGCCATCCCCCATTCTTTCACCTCAGATTTAAAAAAAAAACGATCAGGATCCTCTTAAACGTCAAGTACAACTTTTGATCGTTTTTGATTTTTTTGCGTTTTCCTCTGCTGCCACTGGATTGATTTTAAAAAACTGCAAAGTTTTTTCGACCTTGGCGTAGTAGTAACCTAGTGTAAAAATTGTATAGTAGAGGTGCCAAGGATTACCGGACAGACCGACAAACAGACCGCCGGAAATGAGTAACATGGTTTTTCGTGATGGAAATGCCCTGCAACATCCTAAAAATATTTTCAAAATTTTCCGCGATTGGTAACTGAATTTTCTTTTTTAAGCCGCGTGCTTTTGAAACTGTTTTGCACTATTATCATTGAAATCTATGCAGTGGTTACTAAAATTGCGAAGTGTCAGGAGTTCTAATCAAAGCGACAACTGATATGCCTGACGCGCACACATAAAGGAGCAAATATCTTGAATTGAGAACCGCGATTTTGATATGGTCAGAATCACGGAATGACCAATTTCATAATTTAATATTAATGTTTTTGGATCAAGAAATCCCTTTTTCGTCTGTACTCCAAAAAATATATTGCTTCAGATTTTCTGGATTACATTGCTTCTTCGCTTATGATATGTGAGAAATAAAACATGGAGCTTAACTTATTACAGCCGATCCTAAAGTCCCTCCGCCCATGTTTTTCCACCGCATCAAACACCCGAAAAAAGCGAATCTTGCGGGGTGTCCGGTAATAATTACCTCAACCATGATATCGGCAACACCGTTGGCGGTGGTGCAGCCGCCATATGCGTCGTAATTACGGGGATTTTTATATAAAAAAAGAAAATATTTAGGCTGAGTGCTGTGTATAATTAACCCCCGCGTTGTGTTGGGGCGGGTCGCGTTTTCGAGCCTCGGGCTGTCGCGAACAATGCCGAGCACAGACCGCAATTGTTCTTATTGTCGCTCGCCGGGCTCTGCTTTGCGATGATGCACCGTTAATCCCTGTCATTATGTTAGTGTAACAATACCGCGCAGATTAGCAGTTTTGGGCCTTGTACGAGCTGAGCTTCGATTTTAGACGTTCACGTTTCGACTCAAATGTACGCGTACGATCACACTCACTGCATTTATTGGTAATCGCTATTTTTATATCGACGAATGATCAAGCCTATTTCCTTGTTTTAATAACTTTTTCTGAAAACTACATTTCGCCTTATCTAATTAACTTGGTAGAAATGTCCATGCAAAAAACCAAGGCAGCAGTTGTCGACATATTTTTTTTTGATGTTGACACAAAGAGTGTCCGAAAACGTTTTGATTCTTTAGCTTCCCTTTGCTTAGTTAATTCAATGCGAATTTCAGCCCAAAAGAGTTAAGGAAGGATGCACCTACCATTATTGATCTATGGATCTTATACAGGGTGGTCGACCTGAAACTGACTGGTTTGTATCTTTGAATATTTTGTTCATGAAAAATAACATAAGGCAAATGTACGCCTCTAGAAGCCGCGCAAACCTGAGCCCTCTTGATTAATTTTCCATCAGTTTTTGGCAGGTTTCGGGAGGAATATTTTCAGTTGCTTCCGTAATATTGTTCTTCAGTTGCTCTTCAGTATTTGGTTTGTTGGCATAAACCCTATTTTTCAAAAATCCTCATAAAACAGTCAGGAGCCGTTAAATCCGGTGACCTTGGTAGCCAGTTGGCATCTCGAAATTGAGAAATTAAACGTCCCGGAAATATTGTTCACAAAAGATTCATGGTCACCCTAGCTGTGTGACAAGTTCCTCTGTCCTGCTGGAACCACATGTTTTGCATGTTAAATTGTTGGATTTGAGGAGCCAGAAAGTTTTGCACCATATCACGGTAGCGCTCGCCAGTGACAGTAAGAGAATTACCTGCAGCGTCTTCAAAGAGGTACAATGACACCTTCATACCAAACACCGCACCTAACTGTAACCCGACGACAATATAGTGGTCGTTGATGGATGACACGAGGGTTATCTACTTAATGCGCAGATACGACAATTCTGCTTATTAACAAATCAGTTCATATTGAACTGGGCTTCATCGTGCATTATCAGTTGTCGGTGAAAATCGTTATTTTGGATATTAAGCTGCAGTATTGCATGACTGTATTGTCGGCGACTTTCATGGTCATTAGGCTGTAGTTATTAGGTTAACTGACTTTTGTATGGCCGCAAATGCAAGTCTCTTTTTAAAATAGGGCATAATGACGTGCGACGGATACCCACTTCTTGAGAATAATGTCTGGTAGACGTCTCAGGGTGCTCCACTACACTTTCATGAACTCTCTGGATATTTTTCGGAGTACGAACAGTAGGCAAGTCTTCAACTTCACCTGTTTATTCAAACTTCCGTACCAACTCACGAATGGTGTTGACACTGGGCACATTATTCCGACCGAAATCTTGTCGCAGCTTTCGAATCGTTGCAACAATCGAATCATATTAAGTAAACGTTTTACCATAGGGCCGTTGGGATCGTGATCTGAAGTGGAACATGTGCTTAAACAACAACTATACTGAAATGCCAAAAATGCGCGCATTTACAGTCTATGACCATCAGTGGTACGTGACAATATGAGTGTAACCGGCAAAATATCGAGATACGTCTTGCATCCTTCCTAAGTAATATTTGCATCAAAAAGGACATAATATACAAATTTGCGGAGACCAATGATGCTAGCAATTCTGGAGACGGACACACATCTTTAAACATCGAAAAACAAAACTGAAAAAAATCATACGTAACACTACACACTACAAACCTGCTGCTGTATTTTACTCATGTTTGTAAGATGGAAGCATATTTATAGAGATTCACATGTTATGTTATATTATGGACAACTGGAAACAATATTTCTAATTCGTATATATACTAAGTGACATATAAATCCGAACACCCAGTTTAAATGGTTTTATTTTAATAAAATTTTGTATAAGTACTTAATGAAGCATAATATGTAAATGATAAAAATTTCAAAATGATTGCACTGCTTTAAAGCCCTTTGACCTTTAATAATGTGTGGATGCACCCTGATGTGCTACGCATTCTCCAACGCGCCTAGGCATGCTTCTGATCAGGTGGTCAATGTCCTCCTGTGGTATCTCATTCCAGGCAACCACCAACTCCTCTCGAAGTGCTTCTAGAGTCTGAGGAGGACGTTGCAAATTGAGCAATCTCCTACCCATCATATCCCACACGTGCTCAATTGGGGACAAGTCGGGATATCTTGGTGGCCATGGTAACAATGTGACATCATTATGTTGAAAGAAGTCTATTGTGACTCTTGCAACATGTGGTCGGGCATTATCTTGTTGGAAAGTTGGATCTACCAGGGTGTCAAGATAGGGTAAAAGATGGGGTTCTAGAACTTCGTGGATATAACGCTGCGCGTTCATGTTACCTCTGATGAAGATTAAAGGTGACCTGGAACCATAAGCTATAGCACCCCAAACCATAACTCCAACAGTGTGATGAACATGTCTTTCAACAAAAAACTGTGGATTCCTCCTTTCAAAACGTCGCCTTCTAACCCTGGCACGACCATCGTGCATGCCTAAACAAAATCGAGACTCGTCACTAAAGACAATACTGTTCCATTCCTGATCCCAGAGTGACCGTTGTCTGCACCACTCAAGGCGATTACGTCGCTGTTCTCGAGTTAAAGGGAGGACCCAGTGTGGCCGGTATGAAAACAAGCCAAAACTTCTCATTCGTCGGTAAACACTTCGCATGCCAATAGGTCTTCCGTGTTCTGCAAACCATTCATTTGCAATGGACCTGGTAGTGGAGAAACGGTCCCATAAGGCCAATAATCTTAGGCGGCGATCTTCACGGTCTGTTGTTCTACGGCGGCGTCCAGTGCCCCTTGCTCTTTGCGTACAGCCTTCTCGAAGCCATGCCTGACAACACCTAACCACAGTGTCTACACTTCTTTGCACTCTAACTGCAATTGCCCGAAAAGAAAGTCCAGCTTCCCGAAGTCCCACTATACGGCCCCTATCAAACTCACTAAGTTGACGAAATCGTACAGGTCTCCGTACTCTAGGCATCGTAACCGATCGTAAAGGATGTCAAGAACCAAAATCCGCCGACGTTGATTCTTTACTGCGGCTGAAATATTCATTTTTAGAGCGTTAGTGAATTTAAAAAAAAGCAGTATAAAAACCGGAATGTCCAACTGATAAGGCTGAACATTTTTTCACTTGTTATTTACAGTAAGATAAATACATTCACCAACTTTTATTAAAATAAAACCATTTAAATTGGGTGTTCGGATTTATATGTCACTTAGTATATCTACACAATCTTCATAAATATAACAAGCGATAGATTTCTTCCACGTTTTCCTCCTAATTACTATTTCTGTGTCAGAAAACTGAGTATGTTTTTTTTTGCGGGCACTGTCTTTATTTTTGTATAATTCTAACCATTCTGTCAGTCTTCGATCTGAAAGTGAATTGTTAGCACCACCTTTTGTAGTAGATGAGTGCGAGTCGTTCCTTGCACGTAAGTTTGTTAAACATTGTGTTTGGATTATTTTAATTGTAATTGTAACTACCTAGACTTTTGGGAAATTTATAGTAGTAACATGGCGTTAAAAGTACGTCCAAACGTGATATAAACACTCATTTTCACCAAATCTTAAGAGTTTCTCATTGATGGATGATAATGACAACAGAAAATATCTATCACTTGTCAGAAAGTCAAGGTGCACGCACATTAATGGTAAGAATAGCGATTAGAGTTGCACAAAAATGTCAATCAACAACGTTCGACAAAGTCGTATGTCAGACATTGTCGAGTGACATTTTCCAGCGGCAGTAAGCCATTAATTTCTTCTTCTCAATGTGCCTTTAAAAGGTTTATTATTTGTAGAGGGTGATTTATAAAACAATGGCAATATTTCTAGATTCAAAGCTAACAGAAAAAGTTCATATAAATATCTGTTCTCAAATGCACTTTTACAATAACAGCATAGGCAATACAAACCTAAATTCGTGAGCTGCTAGGCGAGTCAATGGCATTAAAACTATGGTGTTGTGACTCCTATAAAATATTTTTTATGCCACTCACTTTCTGTAAACATTTTCAGATGAGGTATTTAGTTTTTCAGTGCATCCCTTTTGAAGGAAAATTGACTTCAATATTTCTGAAATCCCTATAAAAAAACATATCCATTCTAAATTTGTATCGCTCATATTTTTGAATTAAAAATTGTATGTAGTATATTCGGTATACCGTTATTTGCAGGATATTCTCGTTTACTGCCAAAGGAATCTCCACCCTTTTATCTTAATAATGGGACATTTCAAGACCTATCTTAGAGAAGCATGTTAGATTTACTTTTTACTTCAAGTTTTGTTAATTACCATGTAAATAAAAAATGTTTACATATTATGCAAAATCTGTAACAGCGCAGATAACTACACAGGATGGTACTTGCAATAGTGACAGTATTTCTAGGTCAGAAAGTATATTGGAGAAGAACATGTTTCCAATAAGCAAAAGCAAATGTATCCTTCCCGTATTTTTTTGTCTCTTTGAGGAAAGATTTAAATACAGTATTCACTTATCATATTTTGACAGAATGACGGGGTATTTTTTGAAGGCTAAAAACTTGTTTTATTGAAACAGTCGAGGATTTCTCCTCAGGTGCTGAACATTTCTTTAAAAGGAGTTATTTTAGTTTGTTTGGTCACGAATCGTTTTTTATCTTTTGATTGTGCTGTTCTCACTACATCCCGTTCTACGTTGACTCCTCTAACTTTTTCTATGACCATTTGGGAGAAAACATTTCGTGCAGACGTTCTGATACCAAGTGGTGTTTTTCGTATACTGGGTGTAACAGAACCGTACCATGGAATGAATTTTTTTTATTTAGAAAAACACCATATATCTAGAAAAACATTATGTACTTTTTTCAAAATCTTACACAATTTTTTTCTCATTCTGAATAGTATAATATACTTGTTTTTATTTCTTTAGTAAAAAACTGAATTCTGTGAGTCATTCAATTCTGCGTTTCAGAGTTTATACAACCCGAGTATCCATCACGAGGTGCACAGCTGATCAGCAAGTGACATCTTTGTATTAGACTGTAACGTTGTCAAAATGAATCGGGTGTAAATGTAGTACAACTTGCTTGTAGCGTTTTCTGTATGCAAACGAACTTTTCTAAATACTTAAAGGAAAGCAAGTACAAAAAAAAAACAAAATGCGGCTTTGTCTACCTGGCGTTATCGATATGGGTAATTTTGAAGTATTACTAGATAATCAGCTGTTAATCTACCGTAATGGATACTCGTGAAAAAGGATGGGTGCAAACTGGGATGAACGTGAACAGACAAAAGAATAAATGACACACAAAATATAAGCTTTTGACTAAAGTAATAGGAATAAGTTTAACAAATCATATCATATGTTTTGAATCAGAAACAACAGCTACTTTTTCACTACCGGTAATACCAGTTTAAAAGAGTACGGGCTTATTCGAATGCAGTTTTCTGACACAATCTGTATAAAAAAAAATATTTTCGTGAGCCTATAATTGTTCAATATTTTTTTAATTGGACATTAGAAGCGGAATAACTCATAGAGGGGCACCATCTACATACAATAGATTGTTTCTATTACGTAAATACCTTGTACTTTGGCAAGATCCTAAAGTTCGCCAATTTGATGTATGTTACTGCTATACGTAGCTCTTATGCTTAAGAGATTATAATTATCAAAACCTTATTATTTGCAACACAACACATTCCGTCCGTTTCGTTTCAGAACGTCGAGACAGCGTAAACTCGGAGCAAAGCCAACACGACTCATCGCGAGATCATGTCAAGTCGGAGCCTCATGAGGAGATGGAGGATCAACCAAGCACTGAAGCTGGATCGCAACAACACGTTTGTCCCTTTTGTGAGTACTCTAGCGAATCCGAAATGCGAATCCAAGCGCACGTTTTAGCTCAACATGGCGCTAATAATGCTCCACCACCTCAAGAACAACCACTCCTCCACTGTCCATTGTGTCAAGACGCGTTCAAGGACAGATCAAATTTGGAGCGTCACGTCATGCAGATCCATTCAGTAAATAGTGAAGGTTTGCAAAGGTTGTTGATGCTAGTTGATCAAAGCCATTGGCTCAATCAGTCATCGAGAACCCCAACTCCTAATACATCAATGCAGATGCAACAGACGGTATCGCCTACATCCGTGTCTTCCAAAGAATCGAATAAGTTCGAGAAGAGCGATCCTAGTCATCCAGACACCGAACCTGACCTTCTATCACCAACCAGTGATGACAATCCCGAAGAGTCTGAACGATGTGGAACATGTTTCAAGACATTTCGGAACATCGACGAGCTCTGCTACCACCAGAACGAGACTGGACACCTCGAGATCAAGCAAACACCAAGCGGTCCCGGGTACGTCTGCTGGAAGAAAGGCTGCAACCAGTTTTTTCCAACAGCGCATACTCTCCAGATGCATTTCAAGGAAGTACACGCCAAAAATTCGATCGCGAATATGTCGGTGTCGGAGAAACACGTCTACAAGTACCGATGCAACCAATGCTCTCTAGCTTTCAAGACTTTGGAGAAACTGCAACTTCACTCGCAGTATCATATGATCAGAGATGCCACCAAGTGTGTTTTGTGCGGACGCAGCTTTAGGTCGCTAGTGGCCTTGCACAAACATGTTGAAAGCGTTCACTCTGAGTTGACTGATGAGGAACTGAATGCCTACAAGACGAGTCTAATGAATAATCCATTGCTGTTGGCAGGATTGCAAGGGCAGGTGTTGGACAGCTCAACCAATGAAATACTGAAAAAAGAGTCCATGCGTAGCGAAGAAGAATCCGGAGAATGTGACGACAGCAAAGAACTGAGTACAAGTCAGTCATTAGACGATAGCAATCAGAACGAAGGCGAAAATTCAGATGACAGCATAATATACAAAGATCAGCAGTTCCTGGAAGATTACCTGAACTCGCAGGCAATCGCCGAGGATAGTTACAATGACCCAAATAGAAAATATAAATGCCATCGGTGTAAAGTAGCGTTCACAAGACAAAGCTATTTAACCGCTCACAATAAAACCCTTTTGCACCGAAAAGGTGAGAAACTTAGCTACCCTATGGAGAAATACCTGGACCCGAACCGCCCTTACAAATGCGACGTCTGCAAGGAGAGTTTCACACAAAAAAATATCCTCCTTGTTCATTATAACTCGGTGAGTCATTTGCATAAACTGAAGCGCGCCATGCAAGAGCAGCAAAATAATAATAACAATCCGCCTATATCGCCGATAACCAGCGGGGCGCAACCACAGAATCTGACGTTAACCCCAAAAAGTACATCATCGGAAGAGGATGATAAGAAGAAATACCGGTGTAATATCTGTAAAGTGGCCTACACGCAAGGTAGCACGCTGGACATCCATATGCGTAGTGTCCTGCACCAAACGAGGGCGAGCAAGTTGCAAGATTTGGCGATGGCCGGACAGATAGACCTGACAAAACCATTAATCGAGCAGCCCGATGCCATGCAGTCTCCGAAACAGCCAAGCCCGTCGCCAGGTAGTGGGGACAAACAACCCTCTCCTACCACCCCACCATCACCTGGCCTCTCAGGTAGCCAGCAACAGACGCAAGGGATGATGAGCCCGAGTTGTCCGAAGTGCGGCGTGCAGTTCACCTCGCAAGAACAGCTGAGCGCTCATCAGCAGTTGTATTGCCTGTTCGCCTCGCCTATGGCGATCTTACAAGGTACGCCGGAACCGGGTCAGGCGAGATCTCCACCACCTGGCATCACGGATCAGGACGCTGCTGCAGCCGCAATTCGGATGAACTTGCCCAGGAAGACGGGCTCGCACATGTACAAACACCTACTGGAGAGCTTCGGGTTCGATCTCGTGATGCAATACAATGAAACGCACCAGCGAAGACAAAGGCAGCAGCGCGAAGCAGAAGAAAAGGCTGCCAGCGAAGCGAGTACTCCTCCACCTCCCAAGGAAGAGGAGCCGGCCAGTGTTTTTGAAGCAGCAGCGGTTGCTGCGACAGTGTGCGAAGTGACTGAAACTACCAAGCAGACCACCGAAGAAGATGTCACGGATAACGACCTACCCGAAGTAAGTAAATCTACGTGCCAACATTGCAATAAAGAGTTCTCTAGTGTGTGGGTGTTAAAATCTCACTGTGAAGAAGTTCATAAAGATTTAGTGCCACATGAATTCTTAGAAAAGTATGCTCAACAGTTCAAAAACGAGTACGAAAAGAAAACCGTGGTGGTGACAGCGGCGACGTCATCAACCGTGAACACGGCTCCAAGGTCCACGACGCCCGGGGGGCCGACGCCCACGACAACAGCCGTGCCGTCGTCTACGAGTCCCGTCGAGAATACTCCGACCCCAGAAAAGGAGGATGAGTCCAAGGAGCAATTGCACCAGAAGCTCAACATCCCTCCTGAAGCCCCATCCACGCCGACGTCTTCCACCACTCCGGCAAGTAGTACGGACTCCTTGCCAGCCAATATCCAGGCCATGATCGCGCAAAGCATGGCCCAGAACCCGATGGCCTTGGCCCAGCAGATGTCCGAGATGCAGGCCGCGTTGAACGTGATGCAATTGCAACAGTTGAACTTCAGTCCCATGATGCAAATGATGGGGATGGGGCTTCCTCTGGGCTTGAATGCGCTGGCCGCGATGAATCTACAGCCCCCATTGGTGCCGCTTATGATGCCTCCGCCGCCCTATGATCCAATCTCCCAGTTTGGGCCCCAGGACCAGCAGTTGTTGGCCAAGCAGCAACAGGCGATGATGCAGCAGCAAGCGGTGAGTCATTTTCATCTACAATCAGTATTTTAGTTTTATTATTTCGTCTTATTTATACATTTTCATTTAAAGGGTGTTACTAAATGATAGGCCGCAATTAGGAGGGCGCATTTCCAAACTAAAAACTAGAAAAGTTCGTATAAATATTTGTCCTAAATGGTTTGCATAGTGGGGTGGTGGTAATTTCCAACATTTTTGTAAATCCCTTGTTAAACTGTTATAAATTTTTATTCCTTAGATTTTTTTGCGAAGAGGTACCAAGAGACAAATAAGTTATATCTTCAGTTGCTTTATTGCAAAAAGTGAATATATATTTTAAAATGATATTGTAGTAATTTTTTCTGTATATACTATTAGTGAGACGCCTTTGAAATTCAAAATTATTTTATAGTTCCTGCTAACTTAGCTTAGCGTCTTATTGCAATGAACACCACTGCTAAAATCCAACAAAATCGGCCCGGGGATTTATGAGTTATTAATAAAATACATTTTTTAAACTTATCTTGGAAACCAGATTTTTTAGGACATAATATGAGCTTTTCTACATGAATTTGATTCATAAATCCGCACTATACAATTACGGCCTACGATTAAGTATCTTTTATAGATAATTATTTAATTCTATTCTGAAGATTTTTTAATAAAACTAGTTCATATTTAAAATGTGTTTCGTAAATGTTGCTGATTTCATTCATCATTGTTTTTATAGATTTTTATGTCTGTGCCATACAAGTCATGAACCTCTGCTGTTCGGTAACGGTCCCTCCAAATAAGCGAAAAGCTAGTTTGCAAAGTCAAGTTCAATACGCAGAAAGATGTGAAAAAATATGTCTCATCAAAGTATCTAATTTTCCATTAATTTAAACCATGTGACTGAGTTTTGAAATAGAAAGAGGAACGTTTGAACATTTTCGTCTGTTGAAGCACTTCCACTTTTGTAATGTAAATATATCCGCAACTACTTAAGGAATGGTACCTCATTACACGAAAGCTTCTCATTGTTTATAAAGATTTGTTTATTGATTTCTCTGTTTGGTTGATAGACAGTGAAGTTTTTATACTTTCGCTTTACAATCTAGTTTCTATAAATGATTTCTCAGTCATTTATTGAGATTATTGCGCAATGTTTCTTAGTAAATTAATCATTTAGTCGTGTCATAAATTTCAGGAAGTTGTACACATAAAAACTAATTACTTTTAGATTAAAGGACGAGACCTTAACGTGTCAAATATTTACGTCAACATGTTTTTTCTTGAATCGAAATTCTGTTATAAATATATCAGCTTTTTTAAGGAATAGTAATATCGCGACTATCGAATATAAAGTTCCCTTTCCCCTCAAATGTTGGGCAGAAAATACGATGTTTCTTCTCATTTTTGCAGCTACGCTTCAACCACCAAGTTTTCTTAAATTTTTGAGACGATATTGTTTTTAAATTAAATTCATAATTCAGTATTTCTGCCAATTGCACGACCAAACGCAAGTGCGACCTTTTGAGGATCTGATAGACTACAAAATAAATTCCAAAATCAGTCAATATATTATCATTTACACGTATAAAAGCAGGCAATGGTTTAATATAATCAGGTATTTTCACAACACTTACTATGTTTTAATGAGAACGTAAACAATAATTATTGTAGGTTTTAGAAACAACCTCAACTGACATGCATTTCCATTTAAGTACACCTTTAATTACATTAGTTTGCAAACAGATGTTGCATAATAGGCGCTAGAGACGAATAGCAATATTGTTATAAAAATCTATATCTATTGTCAGCCGTCATCAATAAACGCCAACAATTACCAAGAACAAAACTGCTATAAATTATCGAGGTGCATTTTTTTCAATGATTTGTCGAGTAATTAATTATGGCGTATAGAATAACCAATGTTTCTTCTTCGTCAACGAAATGTTAGATTCGTGATTTTATTATAGAAGTTATGTAAAGAGAAACAGCTTTATCATAGCAGGCACAGTCGTAGACAATAGCTGTCATTTCTTCTTTGCTTAGTTGCATATTTTTGCAGCAACGAATACTAGAGAGAGGAGGTTAAACTCATAGATTGAGGGTGAAGATAAAAATGTCGACGACCATCTCGTGAGTACACTGCGCAAGAAATTAATCTATGGTTCTGCGAATATTGCATTTCTCTCTGTTGCTGTCATCATGGCAGTAAACCACGATGCTGACGCTCTACGGCACTACGCCATGTTCTACGCGCACTAGATTTCCAAGAGCCACCACATCCTGGGTGACAGGCTTGGCTTCATTCGAATACGTGTATCTCTTGTTCAGTTCAACCTCCGATCTCTAATCTTCATGATTGCAGCAAAACATGTTAGGAAATGTTTCTTAGAGACTCATATCAAATAACAAATGTCCACTTTGTAAGAGATTTTAGTCTCTCCAACTTTTGTGTAGAAAATATAGTGTCCAGGATAAGAGTCAAGTATCTCAATGATCTTGTAGATGACAGTTAAATGAGATAGAAAGTGACCCTATATCACTGCTTTATTTCCATAAAGTAATTGTATCGATTCGGATTTTATCTCTTTTTTAGGAGGCATCGATATTATAATTTGATAGTAAGGTGTTTATGTATCTTCAGTAAGAGGTCTCATATACAAATATTTTATTAAGGGTGGCCTTGTAATTTCCATAATAATTATTCTCAGCATCATGATGCTATCACACCCTTCATATTTTTTGATCCAGTAATGATCTTAATTGCGTTAACACTTTTTGTTCATAATTTATCTAAATTTTTATTGCTTGATACAGAAAAAATATAAAACCCAATATTTGATAAGGTTATTGAAAGGAAACTTTCGGAATAGTGAAAAAGCAAATTTTGAAGGTGGAGTAGGCAAGATCTGCGAGATTAGACTTCGATGTTCTTAGCAGAAACCCCAAACCCCCGTCACTTTCCTGAACTTTCTGTGGGAACTAAATTTATTTCACGATATTGGATCTTCAAATATGCTTTCTTCTTCTTTATATGTAGATGTACTCTTTTGTGACGCCTATGGAGAATAGTATTTCTAATTAACGGTATCAGTCGGGCAGCGAATTGTAATAATAATGGATGGCGCTCCTATGTGGCTCTAATAGAAAAAAGCGAAATGGTAATGTTAATTTAATAAGTTGAAGAACTATTCTCTCTTGATGATCGATTAAGGATGGCCTCTAAAAAAATAATTGATTTGAATTGTAAATATACGAATATACCGGGTGTGGTCTGGTGGAAATGTTGACACATCAAAACATAATGCTATAGATTTATATATAGAACACTGATATCAAATTTAAAATGATTTTAGATAAACTTTAATCAACTAAAGGGCATTATCTATACTTGGTGTTATTAACGTATATGGACAGCTTCAATATGTGACTTCTAAGAAAAAGATTTCGTATAAACATAGGTCCGGAGCATTCTGTGTTTTGAAATAATTGCTGTAATCTTGCTAAAACTCTTTGAAATTCAACAGGTATAGATGCAATGTTGTTAGGGATAGGTAGATCCTTGAATTCTGTAAAATTTTGGCCTGGGGGCTTTGGATTTAATTGATGCTTTCCTTTATTTCTTTTATTGGATTTAGCTCTGATTTTAAGGGATAATACCCTACCTAATTGTACTTACTAAATCTCAACAAATTTGAACAAATCTGGCGTATTATGATTTTAATGGAAACCTTTCTAAAAAAAATGACACGAGGGAACAATACCGGACCTATGCACTCGTGAACTTTTTGTCTCACAATCACCCGCTAAAGCTTGACCAGGAACATCTTATTAGCATCCCTATATCATTCACCGTTATTAGTTAATCAACAACAGCAACTTCTATCAGTAGTGATTATTTCTTTATTTGCGATATGTATTTTTTTATTCAAAGTCATCTCAGAGGATTAATAATAACAGTATCGCAGTGCGAATAAACCTTTCACATGTTTTCTCATAATATATCGCAAATCCTCTGTAGTCTTTTGCAATTATTGGACATTGGGTGTACACACCTCTGGAGTGCGTAATATGAATCCTGATTCAGTCCAAATAGCGGTTGACATTAAGCGCTACAGTGTTGTCGCTTGCTGACTTTATCTGTCGACCCTGCAAGAGCAAACTGCCTAGTTAAAACCTAAGAACTATTAACGAAACCGTCGCTTGTCGGTCTAAAATGTAATTCTGCTGCCATTGTATGAATGTAAATACGATGAATACCTCAGTAACAATACCCCGTAAACCCTGAATTCGTCCGCAGATTCCGGGAAAGAGAAGTGCAGGTGTTCGGAATTTAAATACAGCTTCAAATAAAGCATTTTTACCTGCACCACCATGCGACCATGTACCACAGATCTTTTTTGTGAGCAGTAAAAACTGGTACTGTTTACCCTCTTTTGCCAATATAACCCGTCACGGGAAGGTACTATTTTATTGTTACTTGTAAATTGGAAATTGTAGGATTTCTTGAGCCAGTAATAATGTTCTTGTTCAAATCAGACGGTGTTCTTGTTACAATATTGAAATTGACATGAATACAATAAAAGTAAATGTATCTTACAGCACAGTTTATTAACGTTTTCCCTGTGATATGACTTGAATAGTATCTCATAGGCAATTCAGCAGTTCGAAACAAGGTCGTCCACAGCTCAAGAATGGAAAGTGTAAATCTCTGGAAATATTGATATCTCATAATTTGAATAGAAGTTTTGAAGTCCGTTTAACAGGCCGGAATTACGGCTGTTCCTTCTCTGAACACAATACTTCTCTCTCTTATGCATGGGAAGTATTTTGGTGGCTTATGTGGCAACCAGCATGTACTGGAAATAACTCGTACAAGTCTCCTAGCTCCAAAAGTCATCATTCCTGCGTTTATGTTAATAACAGCGAAGTAGTCGAATTAGTACTACTTAAACACATCAGAAGTACTAATTACTTGTCTAAATCAGTTACATCCTTGTTTAAAGCAGTGGCCCAGCTAAACAGTATAATTACAGCTAATTGCCACGTCCAGAGCATCATTTTTCAAAGAGAATGTCCCAAATTTTCTCATCAGCTAAATAGAAACTCGAGATAGACTTAATTCACACCTACTTACGAATTTAAAACACCTACAACGACAAGGCAAAGTGTAAAAAATTCTTAATTTATTATTATAACATTTTACAAATGATTAACATACAATCGGTAATTTGTTATAGTATGCTCCACAGTGTTTGGTAGTTAAACAACTTGTGAATATTAAATTATTAGAACAATAATTTGAAGTAAGCGTTCATTGGGTTTTTGCTTAGGGAGGGTCTGCACATCGTATGGTTAAGTAATTAGACATAAAGGTCAACACTGGTCTTAGCATAAGAAAGAGAAACAAAAATGCTTTCTCTATTGCATTGTCTTATATTAATATTTATGTTTTATATCAAAGGATGTACACCGACATCCATTCATATTAGCATCTGCATTGTAATGATATTATAGAAGAAAATTAGTTTGCATTTCACTTGCTCATTCATCGTTTCCTCATATCCTCTTCGGTAGTTACAAGGAGACATTTATTTAGTTAAAAAACGTGGACCAGTCTCTGCCGAAACTTATCACGTGAACCAATCTTGCTTGTCCACTGGTCTAAAGGGCAACTATTCCGATACCTACCGATGGTGACATACCAATAAGAGGTCGCGCATCATCTTCGGTAGCATCGAAGACCTGGGTCATTTTCATTCTAATCTAAAAAGTGGTTAAGCATAATTTTACGATCCCATATTTTGTTTCCGTCTACTTACTTTTTTATTTGTTTGGAGTCATGAATGCAAAATAATATAAATCATTTCTTGGTATTTCCAAATGGAACATCCTGAATATTTTCACAATTCTTGATTCGCGTTTTCTCAAGCTTTTTTTCAAATCAAGGTTTTTGTATTTCAAAATAAAAAATAGCATTTAGTTGGTAACGGCAGATCGACAGAATTGATGTATGTAAATTTAATCTACCGAGCCTTATGCAATAAAGTCGAAAAGAAAAGGTGTCACACTGTGTGTAACTCAAAAGCTAGTGGTTCAAAGCTCATAACCTTGTATCAGAAAATAGCTTATGAAAAAGGGAACAAAAACGTGAAAATATACAGGGTGTTTCATTCGAAAATGTTGAGAAACAGTTAATTTTGCATTGTTGACCATCCTGTATAAACTTTCCAAAAAAACAAAAACTGAAAAAGTAAGTACACAGAGACAAAGTATGGATCATACAATGTTTCTGATGAAAAATTCAGTACTGCAGCTATAACAGTTGCGGATGTGTGAGTTGTTAAGGCTGGGTGTTTTTCTCGACAGATTGTCCAATATCTTAGCAATTTAAAAGTAAAAGTATGTTATACCAAACTGCGTCGTTTGGAGATGCCTATCCAAATCTGCAATAAAATTTAGAGCTCCCCATTAAAAAAATAAAAATATTTTTATACTCAGATTTTTTACATGCCATTCTTGATAACGGAGTTATCAACCCAGTCCACACTAAAAAGGCACCCTTTTATATTTTTCTTCAATATTTACCCCACGCTGAAATATCTATCCGCGCTTATGTTAGCTCGAGTTATTCTACCGTGGATTCACTTGATATTTTTACAGTTCTGATGGTTTATACTTGATCAAGTTTTTACTATGCGCTACAAAAAGAGGCATAACCGGATTAAATACTTACATGCACATAGAAGTAATGCTGATTATACAGCCTGTATACTAATGGACTGGTGATGATGTTTGAAGAAATAAGGAGAAAACACAGATTTGTGTAATTTATGGCATGACCATGATAGTTTTTATCACTGCATCATATCAAATAGATTTTCTAAGATATTCTATAAAAACTTTCTGACGAAACAAATACATTCTGACAAATTGCTTGAATTATCTAGATCACCTGTCTGTTGAAAAACCTCACAGTTTACTTTATGAACACTGTCTGATGGCCACTGAGAAAGTTTGAATATATTGAGGAACAGCGCTAGGCAAATACATATATTCTCTCGAATCCTTCAAATGACGGGTCCTATTGCGAAACGTCCAGTTCCCAATTTTTTTTATAACTTTATGAAAACATAATATATTCGTAAAACCTGTGAGTTATCCCCTAACTGATTAGATTTTAGGGCCCTATACATGATATAGTTCAGTATTAAAAGAGAATTGTGACAAACGTTTTTTTTTTCGGAGTTGTCTACAAATTTCAGAGAATTTGAAATACGTACTATTTCTAAGCTCAAATATGTTCAATTGTGTCTGTATAAACAACGGTTTTGCTGTTCGTATTAACCAAGTAAGATCTACAAGTGTTCGGACTCTTATGGTGATACTAAAGCCCTTCGCAAAACCTGAGACCCCTTTTGGTACGTTTATGTCCACTCTCAAAACAAAAACACCTTCAAGTGCATTATTTGTATCTGTCGATTGTTGTTTTACTTTGATCCGACTCAGAAGATTATTTTAATTGTTATTTGTAAGAGATGCAGCCTTGTAACGTGATAATGATCGTAATTGATTTATTACCAATTTGTTGAAATTTATTAAGGCTACATATGCGTTGCTGGCCGGCTATGGGCCTACGAAGATTGCATAAGTCATTGAGTATCGGCAAAATAACGTTCTAAATTTAAGGCAGACACTGTTAGGCTTAAGGAAGAAAGAAACGGTTACATTTGTAGCGCTAACAATCTCAAAAGCATAATATATCGAGGCTACTGCAATGTTAGAAGTAACCATATGTTTGAATTCTGATTTGTTGATTGAGTCATGTAACTTACACCAAACAAGACTTGAAGGTAACTTATATTATTATTATTATTATATAACAAATATATGTACATACCTTGTTGGTTAAGCTTTACGTTTTGGTCGACGATACCTTTGAGATAAGTCTAAGAGTCTATCATAGTACATCACAAGTTATCAGAGATGGACATATAATGCACTGCTAATAAAGATAAAGAGAATCTGTACTTTGAAACTTCTACGGTATATCATAAATCAAAACCACATCAAAACTTTGTCCACACCAAACATCTTGCGGGAAAGTAGCATGTATACTTTAGACCAAAAGTCTAAAATAAATGGCAATACGTATATATCAAGGATCGTTACCAGACACTTCGGACAGGTTTTCTTGGCTTGAAATTATCTAACATTAATTGTTTAAATTACCTTAAACAGTTATTCTAACATTACAGATACATTCTCTACCAGAATATAGTTACGCTTGTAATTATAATATATATGTTGTACAGCGTGATACCGTGACGCCTAGGGCTAGCAGTTTGTTTTATTGATATTTCAGCTGGGATCTACAGGAACTCGGTGATAATCATCCATTCATATCCATTATGATCTGTTAAAATCGTAAATGAAACGTCATTTTTATGCCAAGATAGTACTTGCCTTAGCCAAAGCATCATGTGTTCTGATATTGAACAAAACTTTTGGTTGAAGAACTTTCAGGTGTCTCTTGGAAAAAGTGGAAAAATAATCATAACCATGTGGACCGTTACTTGATCGCAGACTTAGTGGTACCTATTGCTTATATGTTTCTTGTTTTCAGTGGCCAGCAAATATATTTGAGGAACAGACCGCGATGTTCATCGCTATTCCGAAAGATTTGCATTGTCTTTTACGTTTTTCAGCCCAACAGTGGCTTCCAAACTTCTCAATTTACAAATACTTTTCTCTCCAGGCCGTCAACGCTGCAGCCAATCAGAAACGAGCACGAACCCGCATCACCGACGATCAACTGAAAATCCTAAGAGCCCACTTTGACATCAACAACTCACCGTCTGAAGAGCAAATCCATGAGATGGCGTCTCAGAGTGGCCTGCCTCCCAAGGTCATTAAGCACTGGTTCCGTAACACGCTTTTTAAGGAACGTCAGCGCAACAAGGACAGTCCTTACAACTTCAATAATCCCCCTTCTACCACTTTGAACTTGGAGGAGTACGAGAAGACTGGCGAGGCAAAGGTCATGCCTTTGAACAGCTCCGGCGGTAGTAGCGAGGAAAGTAAACCTATCAAGGACTCTCCTCATCAGTCTCAGAACGAAATTAAGACCGAGATGAAAGAGGAACCTGTTGATGAGCACCCTCCACCAAAATATGAAGACAAACCACAAGAAAGTAACGAAGAAAAACCTAATGTGTTTAACCTGCCTTTAAATCTGCAGCCGCCACATAGTCCTGTGACGTCGATTGCCAGCTCTGACAACCAAAGTGTCTCGCAACCAAGTACGCCTAATAACCTCACTCTCACGTCAATCATAGCATCCCAACTTGGTGACACGATCACAACAAGCACACCAACCATGAACATGACTAGCATGAGTACTCATCATGGACTAAGTAGCCCAATGTTACCACCACCAAAGTTGAATCAACAAAACTTCCCTAACCCAAATAACCTGCAAGGAATGCTGCCTCTTACGCCCAATAGGTGCTTGAGCCCAAGCAGGGAGTACAGCAATCCTGGAAGTAACTCCGGATCTACAGGGAAACGAGCTAATAGGACAAGATTCACTGACTACCAAATCAAGGTTCTCCAAGAATTCTTCGAGAATAATGCCTACCCAAAAGACGATGATCTCGAATACCTCTCCAAGCTGCTGAGTCTCAGCCCAAGGGTGATAGTTGTATGGTTCCAAAATGCTAGACAAAAAGCTCGGAAAGTGTATGAAAACCAACCCGCAGCCGACCCCGTACCAGGTATCCCAGACGAAAGTGGAGCTAACAGATTCCAGCGAACTCCAGGCTTGAACTACCAGTGCAAAAAATGCCTGTTGGTGTTCCAAAGATACTATGAACTGATCAGGCATCAAAAGACTCATTGCTTCAAAGAAGAAGACGCTAAACGGTCTGCTCAAGCTCAGGCTGCAGCTGCGCAAATAGCTGCGGTTCTCAGCTCTGAAGATTCGAACTCAAGTACTACCGTAGAGCAATCTCAACAGCATCAGACAACACCTCAGCAGCATCAACTCCCTGCTCAATCAGGAATGCAACAACAGCAGCAGCAACCTGTACAGCAGAATCCGCAACATAGTCCTTCCTCTCAGCCAAATCCTCCAACTACTCCGACTCCAACTCAGAGCCAAAGCAGTTTTGCTCCCACATCTCCGTCTCCGTCAGAAACGAAGGAAGGAACTTTCCAATGCGACAAGTGTAACCTAGTTTTCCCACGGTTCGAACTCTGGAGGGAACATCAGCTAGTTCATTTAATGAATCCTAATCTATTTCCACCTTCATACCCACCAGATTCCCCATTCGGCATTCTGCAGCAACATGCTCAGCTTCAACAACTTAATTCAAACCTAGGAGAGTTGACTAAGCCACAGAATAGTACTCCTCAACCAAATATACCACATCCTCTTATCAACATGTTAAATAATGTTACTGGACAAAAGAGGAAGGTGGAAGAGTTTGAAGGCGAAAGTGATACATCTGATCAGCCAAAGGACAAAAGATTGAGGACTACTATCTTACCTGAACAACTTGACTATTTATATCAAAAGTACCAAATTGAAAGCAATCCTTCGAGGAAAATGTTAGAGAACATAGCCAGAGAGGTTGGACTGAAGAAACGCGTGGTTCAAGTATGGTTTCAAAACACCAGGGCTAGAGAGAGGAAAGGACAATTCAGAGCGCATGCTCAAGTGATCAACAAACGATGCCCCTTCTGTCCGGCATTATTCAAAGTAAAATCTGCACTAGAATCTCATTTATCTACCAAGCACGCTGATCAGTGTGCTAGAGGTGAAATAAACATCGACGCTTTACCAGACGAAGAAGCTAGTTTAGAATCTGCGCCTAGTTTGAGCTCTGGAGGTGACAACAAATTCCAACAACAGCAGAACCCAAACATGATGCCACCACTTTTCCCTTCTCTTCATCCAGAAATGGAGAGCAACATCAAAAAGTACTATGAGGAGAGCATGAAGAGATATATCAGCGAGCTGCAAGCTCAAGCTTCGTCTTCTAACGGAGACAAGAGCGAAATCAAGTCTGAAAAGGGGGAAAGTGGTGAGATACCTCTTGATCTCTCCAAGCCTGTAGATCTGTCGAGACCTGTAAAGGTGTCCATGGACCACGAGCGCAGTATGTGTGATCCAGGACCTCTAACCGATCTAAGCGAAAGATCCCTATGCGATGAAAGAAGCGATTCCATGTCCGAAACCACTGAGTTTTTTGATGATGAAAGCAACCCTACATCACCTGCCAGTAGCACACAAAGTAATTCTCAACGACAAGCGAATAACAGTGGCAACTCGTCAGGTGGTGCCAAGAGGTTTCGGACTCAAATGTCTGCAGTTCAAGTCAAAGTGATGAAGACGTTGTTTCATGACTACAAGACACCCACGATGGCTGAATGCGAGAGTTTGGGAAGGGAAATAGGGTTGCCAAAACGAGTAATACAAGTATGGTTTCAAAACGCGAGAGCCAAAGAAAAGAAGAGCAAAATGGCGTTGCAGAAAGCTTTGGGCCAACCTGAATCAGACAATCCTCCAATGCCGGAAGACTGCAAATACTGTAACTTCAAGTACTCACACAAGTACTCGATCCAAGACCACATATTCACCAAGGGTCACATTGGTAATGTCAGAGCTCACCTGGAGAGCCAGCAAAACAAGGAGCAGCTGGGTGCCGAAGGAGAGTTCACGGTTCCTCCGCTTCCTGGAGCATCTGGTACAGTCAACGCGGACTCCACGACAAGTCCACAGCAAAGCATGAATAACAACACTCACCTGCAGCTTCTGCAGATGGCTGGAGTGCAGTCCATTAAGCGGGAGCAAGACGAGAGTTCGGAAAACCTGTTCCAGCAACTGTATGCCCTGGGGAACAACGCCAACTTCGGGGTGCAGAACCAGTACGTCCATCATGCGATGTTTGGAGCTAATGGTGAGTAACAGCTTGATTTTGATCTCTAACTGTAGAAGTAGAATCTAGTCATTTAGATAAACTACTCACAAAGCTGGTATTTTCTTAAATTGTGTCCAAGATCCGGTGTGTTCCATAAAAGTACAAGGTGTTATATGAAAACGCCATTACCTTCATTGTGTTGGTCTAGTAGCCTCAACATAACTCAAATGAACGTGAGTAGTTTCAACTGTTTTCAAGAAACTACTGAACTAGTACTACTCTTCATGATGATGATACATAATACAGTCACCAGAATCGTATGACCTGAAAAAAGTTGTTTGTACTAACATCATCCCTGTACAATTTAGAGAGCACAGCTTTGCGAATATTCTGCATTCTTAAGGTGGCGGTTAGTTTAGTAATTTTACTTTCAGAGGTGGGATATGAACACGTTGTTCTTGCGGTTTCTACATAGATGGTAGATTTGTATAATATGCTGACATATTGAAATGGATTGTGAATATAGGGTGTTGAGTATGCACCGAATGCAATTCTAGAATGAATTAGTACAAATATTGAGCCAGATGTGCTTTAGTAAAATGTTGCTTGTCTATTAGATACATAGTAACGAAATTTGATTTTTCAAATCGTGATGTCTTTATATTTTCTGTGCTGTACTGATGTAGTGTCAAATAGCTATGACTATGTGCATTTTTCTCACAAAACGTATTCCTGTTAACAAACTGTTTTGGACAGTTCAGTATCCTGAAAAGGGTTTATTAAGTCGGCAGTAATGTAGTGCTCTAGAGTACCTTTTTGAATAGAAAAGTTATGACATGGAATAGCAGCACTTTAACGATTAACTCTTTACATAGTATGCGAAAAAGTAGAAGTCATGTTTCTCACCCTGCCCAATGCTTTGTTGCTAATAATCATATCAGCAATAAATACATAACGATTGCGAAAATGTAATCCTCTGCACCCTGTACCTAAACAATATTTGATATCTAGAAGATTCTTCAACTACTTGTTTAAAAAAATGATCGGATCTATCTTCGTACTTCGTTACATAATTTTGCAGATTTTCTGAGTATATGTTATAAAAGAGCAAGTGCACAAAACATGACAATTTATAAGGAAATATATTGTTATTAACAATGGTTATACCAGAGTTGAAGGAAACAAAACCTAACAAAGTAAGCAAGTGAGCTTCGGGTTATAAACAATCGTTTTATTTACCGAACACGTCTCGTCGCTGGTCAAACTGCAAAGTCGCACCATCGATGTAACATAAGAACAATAATAAATTCAAGCGTCTCCTTTATTATAATTTTAATAATGTACAAGTCGAATAAAACGGACAACTGCCATTGTTGGTGTATGTTAATTATTTAGGTATAATTTACGATCAACGGTATCGATCAGTGTGATTGGTTCTGGGGCTATGGCGATAAATTACACGAACAAAAGACGGAACGAGAAAGTCGCATGTGTCTTTTTTACCCCACGCTGTTGGCGCATTTGGTCCAGTTAAATTTGATTCGTAATTCAAAGAACTGTAGATGGACTAAAAACGGGTTTTTCATATTTTTCTTGTCTCCCTTGACATATTTGGATTTTGGTTTGGAGTGATCTGTTCTATAGGAGATTTCCGAATATCTTGTTGACATCCCACGTAAAGAAAGTGCCATCAGTGTTTTTAACGTAATTTTAAAGACCATTGTTTTAATTTCGATTAAATCCTGGGGGATAAGATTCCATTGCGGGCCATAATTAATTAAAAACATACATTTTAATGAAGTGCTTAGCCAAACTTCAATGGCCCAATCCTGATGGTTATAAGAAATGTGACGCAAAAATAGGATCGGTAATATTTCGTTTTCAATGCACTTGATATTAATTTTTTTCTGAATTTTTTTCCGTAGTAGTCGTGATAAACTTTCAGCTGATTTCGTTATTTTTTAAAATGTATAGGTGGTACAAATTTATTACCGGACATTTATCTGATTCGAGATAAAGTAAATTCCTTATTAAAACTACAAGCGTTCATGAACTCCTAAGACTACGCATTTAACCCCGGTAAACGTTTTCTTTAGAGGCATTGGCTTTTATTGCGTTTTCTTATTTGACTTTGAATCTTTCTGCGTCGCATCTGTGCTCGGTAGAATTTAATAATTTTCGACAAAATCGTCTGAAAGGTTGTTAAGATTTTTATGAACAAACTGACACTTCCAAAAAGGTTTGTCAGTCTGCATCTTGAAGACAAGGTATTATGCGATCCCATTAAAAACTTTATCTCCACCCTGCACAACAGCTTGTTTGCATGAAATAGTTATATTTTTTTCCTGATGCTGTCTAATCTCACTGACCCATGTTATTCTTTTTTACCCCACGGTTCCGCATGCTGCTGTCGATGCATTTAGATTGAACCCATAAAAAATGCGGTATAATGTATTTGTGATACGGTCCGTGAGTCATATCGGTATAGGGAAGGATTTTGGACAGATTTCTACTACAAATTGATCGATAGATTGGTATCATATTACTCTAATCTTCGTATGAGCGGCTGAAAGAGATCTGGGTCTCTTAATGTATGCGGATGGCAATATGTAGGTATACATAGCTTAATGTTTTTTGTGCATATTTGAGGATTTATCGTATCTAGTGTGAAATTACAAATGAGTGGGAAACGGAATATCCAGGATGGCGCTAAAGGATTTGGATTATTTATAACGCGTCCGTTTTTAAAAACTTACTGTTTATATTTATTTCCTACGCCACTGAACGAGGTGATATTATGATTGCGAAAAAATTCTAAAATGGGTTATTAAGGTTTTTGGATGTTATATGACATTTACATACTTGACAAAAAATCATGTCTCTTCCTAATCCTTGGACCGCCTATAACTTGGAAAGTATCTCTCGGATTTCGATGAAATTTTCACGCAAGGCTACTATACCAAGAATGAAGAGAAGAGCTTTGTAGTATTTGGAAAACGGTGCAGTGGCGGCGGAGCTAACAAAAACAAGAGAATAAAAATCGCTCATACTTCGTTCTTTGACGTTTCAAAAGTTCTTGGTTATGTTCAGAAAAAAAATTGTATGGGTTGAAATTCGGAAGCGGCAGGTTGTAGAGGGTTGCGGATGGCTTATCGCATTTTTTGAAGGCGGTATATTTATACGCTTTCAACTCCAGCAATTTTATGCACCTCACACGTGAACCGATGACGGCGTTGCGTAGAAAGTGCAGAGTCAACCTACAGAACGCAATCTTTTACCTATTAGATAGATACTGTATATGCCACTGTTCGGAGTGCTCCCAAATTTCGAACCTCGATATTCAGCGTTTTTGAAACTTCTGATGGTATCAGAATATAGCAGAATATGTTTTGCAAGCTCAAACGGATTAGAAAATAAACTCACTCTACTCGATACTATTTCTTGCTCAAAGCCTAATGAGACTTGTCTGATTATTACACTTTTTAAAAAAATTGATTATCAAATATCCGTCTTTTCGATACTTGGATCTTTTATTGACCTTTTATATTATTAATATTTTTAAACGACATACTACTCATATCAAAAGTAACACGTGAATTCTATTCTCGCATGCACCAATAGTTATATTCAAGTGACTAACAAGCCTCACCAATAATTTACGGAAACTTCCAATCTAACCTATCCTATACATAAAAACAGCCTACTTAATTTAATAGCATGTTATTTATTTCGTAAAATACCAATTTCCAGCTAGGCTACGTATATCGTTATACGAAAGATACCCTCGGAAATGAGAAATAAGAATTAATTTTTCATTCCCCTTCCTTATTTCTCATATGAATTCGTAACGCGGACCGAGCTCCCAGATATGCATTTTTTCCCTCTAGCGCCTGGCACGAAAGTTGGAGATATGAGGAATGGATAGTCTCCACTTGTTAAGCATCTGGAGGTATTATCAATTAAGATAAGGATTTTATCAAAATCGGCTCACTTGTTTCTGAAATTACGCGGATAGAAAATCGCCGACAGTCAGATAGACCAATGACGTAAGCGAGAAAGATAAAGTAGTTTCGTCTCGCTCAGGGAGAGGAAGTGGAATATCAATTTTTGGATTAATTTGAAATGTTTTGATCGTTTTTTATCAAGGACTCCTACAATCGGCAAAAGATAATTAACCGAGCATTTTTGCATAATAAAATATCTAAAGCAATGCCTTCTGAAAATCCCTTTTCAGCATTTACTTTGACTTAGCATTATCAACAAAATTAAGTTGAAAAGGCTGAATCTATAAAAAATTGAAAAAATATACTAATCTACTAGTTCACTGCCACTGCCAGACTCAATTCCCTTTCCTTATTCACCAAAAGCTCAGAACATAAACTCCAGCAAATATGGGCGAAAATATACATTCCAGTACCTACTGCTTGCAGTGATATACAAAATTAACAGCATACCTTCTTCTGAAATAACTGTCTCATAATGTAAATTATGCATATAACCGTGGCTACTACAACGTCATACAACGATAAAATATGCTACGTTATAGATGCTATTAATAAAGTATGCACTTTACTGCTTGCATACAATTACAAAATGTAAACAGATATTTGTATACAAGGTGTTCCGTTTGGTTTAGTTCAAAAGATCAAGATGTCTTCTAACTCTACATTTTATTTGCGGAACTGGGAAGCTGACGGTAATCAGATTTCACAATAGATCAATTAACCACAAACAAAAAGAAATGAAATTCTAAGAAAAACCTGAAATAACTATTGTTACACTTATACTTTTATTTATTTAATCAATCAACGGCTGAAACCCTTGTTACCAATACAAAACAGTCTTGATTTAAAGAATTACATTGTAATGTTCTTAACAGAAGTTCCAAACACTTCCTAACTATAACTATATTATAATTATATCTATTACCTAACCTAAGAAGACGATTTATAAGTTCATTCAAACCATAATTTGTTTTAAGGAAACGGACAAAAAAGTATCAGTATCTCTTATTCTCCTATCATTCACATTAAGTCGATGTTAATAA